TACGCTTTATTTTGTGAAAACAAATATCGTACAATTGATTTAATTTGACACAAATAATACAGAGGAGCTACAAATTATATATTAACAAAGTGTTTGTGCTCATATGAGGAGACTCCATTTTGAATGATGACCTCGGGTATGGCGAGGTATCTCCAAGTTTCCAGTCCGACCTCCAGAGGCGTTCCAATTTAAATGTACGACCAGACACTCCAACATCCATGGGAGGCGCCAGGATGTTTTTGCTGCAGTAGCTTAGCAGTTGCTATATGACAGCAAGGCATTGCTAGTTAATTTTCAAAATAAATAAACAAACAAGAACAGTGGGCCAAGCACGAGCCTGTTCATATTGTAGCGTTCACCGCTATTCAAAATCACAGATCACGAGCCTTCAATGTCGAAAAAGTTCTCTTTATTTTCTGGTATTGACGGCCACAGCCACGCCGTACAGAACCAATCAATAGTATAACACTCATTATGACTTATGACATTATGAGTCACATAAAATAAAAAAATTGTTATGTGGGATGGAATTGCTACCTTCGTTCTTTATCTGGGCTTGGGACTGGCAACGTGACCCAAAAGAGACACACTGCAAGCCAGGGCTGGATCAGCAATGGCATTGCGCATGCGTGATTAATATTCAGTCTGGACGCGTAGTGTGTCTCTTCTGGGTCACTTTGCCACCTCTCTGCTCGAGTGCAGCTGCCTAGCGAGGCTGCCTGTGAGTGCTTTGGGACGGCGGAGGGGCTCAGCACCCGCTGCTCGTCGAGGAAAGTAACGATTACGTGCTATCGACGATGCAAATTTCCCCTCTGTGGGACTAATAAAGGTGTTCTGATTCTGATATCACGTCAGATTCTCCAAACAACAGAAAAGTCTCCAATAACACCAGAAAAAGTAGCTGGATTTGTCGCTAGTCGCTTTTGACAAAAAAAAGTTGCCGGAGGGTTTGGAAATTCGCCCGATTTAGCGAGAATGTCGTCAAGTTGGCAACACTGGTTGAGTGGTAACAATCTTCTTATCTAAGCCTTACAGTAACAAGACTGAAAAGATGTTGGTGTTTTTAGTCATGATATTCTGATATAGCACTGCTTGATGTTTTATCCCGTTTCACTGTTTCACTATTTTACGCTAAGCTAACTGGCTACTAGAATATACCACTCTGCAATAAAGCACAAACACTGTATTTCTCCGAATGTGTTTTTTTTTCTATTGCACCACTAAACACAGAGAACATGATGAGCTGAGATATTTCCAGCACAGCTTCACAGTAGAATTTTTTTTAAAGAAAAGAGCCTTTATTCCACGGTTAAATGAAACTAATCGTGGAACATTAGCCTCATGCTCGTTTCAATATTTGAGCACCTAATAATGAATATTTTTCTTTATACTCTCACAATGTACTTTGTTCAGCAGCTATGTCGGTGACCAGGCTGACGTGTGTGGGAAGTTTTAGCCTGGACACGCTCCTTTTGATCTCTGAATGAAAACCCCCGATAATGAGGTGACAATACGATCATTGAGAATTTACACTCTTTGGATACAACGGTTTTCAATTTGACAAATTATGAGCTTTATCCGTGACATTTTCTCTACTTCTCCCATTGCAGGAAAGCTGTTAAGTGAGAGGTCTTATGAAGTTCGCTATGGGTGTGACAAGTACTCTTAAGGGTTTTAAATTACCTTTGAAGTGGCGGCTAATCACTGTGGTGAAGCAGTTTTGGCTCAGTGACTACAGCTGCTACCCCAGAAGCGTTGAAATTGATCTAAGGCCTTTTGGCTAACGTTATTTCAAAAGACAAGGTGGCACAATGGAGATTCAAAGTCTTTTAACATTAAGTTAAATGTCCGGTTTTGATTCTGTCCCTAAAACCAAACAGAAAGGGTTCAGCGATTGACAAAAGGGGAATATAATGATTGTGTTTATCCTGACCCCAAAAGGCTCCAGACAGAAGGTGTGAGCATGAAACTCAACTTTCTCTATAAAGGTCATTTTACATAATGGAGCAATCTAGGAACTGATTTCAATTCAGAGACACTTACGTCAAGAAACTTAACGCTTATGGCAAATGGCTATAGTTAGATTTGGTGGGAACAACCTTTCTCTTTAAGGGAGTTTTCTACCAAGAATGCTAATTTCCCCTAGAAAAAAGTTTTGGATATATTTAAGTGAAGTTGTATGAGGTACTTATTACCTAGAGTGGACTGTGGTCTGAATTGTAGTCTGGTGGCGAAAGCATAGATGGATATACTGAGAAATATCAGGTTATAATGGAAAAGCTGTACATCTGGATCAGTTATATGTATAAGATGCCTAAATATTACTAAAGATTATGCACAATCATAGAACCAATTTCATTGATAAATTGATAGTTGTTGTAAAAAATGTACAACCATCAATAGTGTAAACTGGAAGGGAACTAGGAGAGTGCAGACTTTCGTTTCCATAAAAAAATATTGCGTGTATCCGCCATGTCACTTGATGCAACTCCTTGATTTTTGATAAACTTGTTCCACCAATTTACATGAAAATTAGGCCCGTAGTTTTTCCATAATCTTGCTGACAGACAAACAATCCAACAAATAATCAAGATGTTTCCACTGGAGAATGAAGAGTTGTAAAAGAAAAGTGCCTGCAGTCTTTATAACTAAACAACAAAATAGGTAGTTTGTTCACTGTCTCCAAACCTTGTGTGACCATTTTGGTATTTTCTGAAGGCAGCTAAAACTAATACGATCAAGAAAGTCTGGTGGTCATAGCTAAGAGACACCAAAATGTAGCTGTTGGTAGCAGATTGGATGTGAAACGTAGTCTCCAACATCAAAGCCATGCCCTCTATGCCCCCTACCATCTTCCCTGACCTCCTTCTTCAGAGGTTTCGTGGCACCGTAACAACATCAAGCTGCCTTTGAGGGCCCCAGATCCCGAGGGGCCTGGTTGGAAATCAAACCCCGGTTACTGTCGCCTTTGCTTCTGAGGGGGAAGAGTCATCACTCGCACGACCACAAGACGCTGCTTGTCACGAAACATAAGCAATGGTCGTTTCAAGTGTTTGATCAAATGATTAATGCTGTTGTTTTTACTGGTGAGGACAGCCTGAAATGCCATCAAAAGAAGACTCACAAGAGCAACATTAGTTTTTCTAACCCCATTAGAACCAATTAGACAAGCCCACGCTGAGTGATAGCTCTTTGGGTGGAGACAGATGCCACGGACAGATGAACGAACTTTAAACACACCAGTGTTTTACAGATGGGGGGGATCCCAGTCCCAGCGGAGTCCTTTATACCCGATGTAAGACACGGTGGTGTCAAAGAGCCCCTTGTGATCCCCCTCAGGACCAGTAGGAGGTATTTTAATAGCTGTCTGACCCGTGGCGGCTCTTGCCTCCTGCCATCTCCCTCACAGTGAAACTATTGTGCTGAGTTAGAAACACAGAGAGCAGAGGAGAGACTAAAAAGACATCAGAGTTGTTTTTCTGCTGTTGGCTGCGTGTCACTCATCTCGGTGAGTTATCAGCTTCCCTGAGGCTGAGATAAGCATCTTCAGTGAAATCCCACACACTGCAAAGTCGACTCTGGTTTTACGCTTTCTTTACCACTGATTTTCAAAAACACATAGTTAACTTGAGCTTCAACTTTGGTGAACTTTAACGTGCATATTTGGGCCATTGACAAAGCCATCGTGACAGCTGTTGAAAATGAGGAATCTAGCATAGCTGTTTTGCACCATTAACTTTTATTTAAACCTCTTCTGCCAAATGTAAACCATGTAACAAAAGAGGAATGAGTTGGTGACAGCAAAGAGAGAGAAGTTGGTGAAATATATACATCTTTGAAATACGAGTAAAGAGAGAGAAGTTGGTGAAGCATATACATCTTTGAAATACGAGAACTCATTGTCCCATTAGCAACCAAGCTAACACGCTTCCTACACTGATGCACGCTAGCTAGCTCATACAGTATATTTTGATTTCCTTTTTTCAACTCTTTATTGTTATACAATCATGAGAATAACATGTGGGGGGGAAGTTGAGTCAAAAGTACTAGAGTGACGCATGGGCTGCATAATTATTTCCGAACCAGACCTGAGAGCACGAGTAACCGAACCCAACGCTGTAAATGTTAGCTGAAGCATTTTGTGTTTTCGTGTCACACAACTGTTGCTATCTTGGTTACAATCAAGCCCCAAACTTGAACAAGAAGTACTCCACCACTGAAAAAGGATGTCCATTTCCTGCTGTGAAGCGGATTTTGGTCCAAAGAACATGCAGTATTTTACATTTGGCCGAAAAATCACAGGCCCAGCCAAAACTTAACTTAATATTTTGTAAAGGTCTTAATGCACTTTCTGTCATAACATCATAACCATAATTCCAGACAAGTAGGCCAAATATGACCCTAACATCATTTGTAAATATCCGGGTATCCACTTTTCATGCAGTACAGACTAAATAGAAAAATGCTAGGTGTTAGCTCACAGGCTAAGTTCACCAACTAGCCATGCAGGTACTCTCTATAAACAAGCCTTTAACACTGCCAATTATTGCAAGGACACATGGAAACAAGTAACCTATTAACCTATTATATTGTGTGGAACATCACACCAGGTTATATAGAGATTATTGACACACACACACACACACACACACACGCACGCACACACACACACACACACACACACACACACACACACACACACACACACACACACACACACACACACACACACTTTACCTTATATTCTTGAACTTTGCAGCTTTAAAACTTCCCAAATTAACTTTTTGTTTGACCACAGGCTTCTTTAGTGGATATATCTTGCATCATATTTACAGTTTAGGTTTCATAGTGCTCTGTCCTTGCTGCAAAAAAAACAAACTCGTAAGCACTTCATCAAAGCCGCATGTCTCTCGTTGGCTGTTTGCTCCGAGGCGTCACCATCTGTCCTCCAGCAGCTCCAGTCCTCCCCTCTTTCCTCCCATTGTAGAAACAGCTGTGGACCGTGAACCGTGGAGTGCGGGTCTGACACGGATTACCTGGATACCGGCTCTAAATCTGGGTGGGCATCAAGCTGAAAGGCAGCTCTTCTTTTTTCCACAGTTTCTATTTTTAATGGATTCATTTCCTACAACTTCCACCATGGCGAGCAGGCTTCTTCACACTCTGCATTTGTTACTCATTTTGGAGTCGAGCTGGGGTAAAATCGCGTCTGAGGATTTTGTGGACGCCGTGCGTAAAGGTGCTGATGTCCCACTGGCTGAAGAGCAGCGCGTCTTTGCGCACGAAGGCACCAAACGGGACATGGTCTCCATCAACATGTTCAAAGTGTACGAGAAGTACAGCAAAGAGCCGCCGAGCCAGAGGGAGGCAAACACCGTGAGGAGCTTTAAAGCTGTCCCGAGTGAGTGAGCACAGAGTGTATTAATGCCATGAACTATGTTAATAATGAAATGTGTACCACGTCTCGTACTTTTTATGTTAGAAGGGAATATAACTTATAAACCGATGCATTTACATTCTCAGTCTCTGCTAAATTAGAACAAATCCGGTGTTTTCAAGTTGGTATTACTTAACACTAAATCTTGTCTGATAAATGTGTTAAAAACATCTAATTGAACTTTTAAAAATGTATGTTGATTGGAAAATGTTTTAATTTCATGAAAAATGAGTTCAGACCCAATGGAGGTTGGATTATAATACATTACATTTTCTAGAAAACCAAGAAACTGTTTATTTCCTGGAGCAATTTAAAAATAGTAAAAGTTAAATCAAGCATAAAAGTGTATTCTCAAATACAAAATAATGTTTAATGAACTATATGACAGTATTATGCTACTTACAGTTTCATTGAATGAAACTCAAGAAGCATTACATTTCAAGGAGGGCCTATTTCATTTTTGTGTCCTCACTTTTATTTGACTTACAGAATACAGTCTCAAAGTGCAAAAAAAGGCATAAAGTTCACATTCAACTTGAATAATTCAATGTTATGCACAAAGGAATATCTTGGGAAAGCATCTGATCCTAATTATTTCATCAGTGCATCAACCTAAACGCAGGTGTTTAGCCAATCACACAGCAGCCCTCGCTCCCATTTGGGCTTAAACATCTTCACCTCTGTTGTGATTTAGTGATCTGGGGGACTCTAAGCCTGGAGCTCTGTTAGTTCTCCGGTAGCTGCAACTGCCTAGGTGTTAGACAAGAGCCTATTATCACACCCAGACACCGGCTGCACAGCGAAAAGCCTCAGAGGAGCTCTTTCTGCTATAAGCATTTCCATATGGCTGCGACAGACCTACTGGACCGATCCAATGTTTGTCTTTCAGGCTGCGGTGGAAGTGTGCGAGACGAGGGTGAACTTCAAGAGTATAGCCGTCGAGGATGAGGCTTTTTTGGTCATGCGTGAGGCAGGCACTTAAGCGTGCCGTGCTTAATACTTTCCATGCTGCATGCTTATGTCAGTCAGATGTGTTGAGCGAGATTCTGCAGAAGACATGTTGGATGTTGTTATTCGTGTCAGTCAAACAATGCAGATGATAGTGGAGGGGGAAGGTTTAAAGCTGAAACTTGATCGCTTTAATCGTCAGTTTTGTTAGTTTCAGGCGGAGATACTTCATCAGGGATTTAGCATTGTTTGACAAAACATCTGTTTGGTTGAAAAAGTGTTAAAGGTCCCATATTATACTTTATAGGTCTCAGATACATAAAACATTTCTCTGAAGTGTTTGGCTCCAAACACGTAGATCATTGCAGCATTACCCATAATCCCCTCTGTTTCAGCCCTGTTTCCAAAGTGCTGATTCTCTGTCTGTTACTTTAGATGAAAATAAGGAGCCCCTCCCCACGCCCCTCTGAGAGAGATTTGGTTACAAAGAACTCAATGGTGCTCTAGGAGGAGATTCAGGTGATAAGGTGGGGGGGGTTACCTTGGTTGCTGATTGGCTAATGGTTACACAAGACAAAACCTCGTTATGACATAATGAAGTGGCCAAAATCTGATCAGCTCATTTTCAGACAGGTTTTTATAGAAATGGATCAGGACAAAAAGAAAAAGAGAGAGAATCTTTGTTCCTGAAACTTTCAGAGTCTCTTTCCACAGAGGGGACACATGTTGATGTAGAAGAGACATGAAGAAGAGGGGACACATGTTGATGTAGAAGAGACATGAAGAAGAGGGGACACATGTTGATGTAGAAGAGACATGAAGAAGAGGGGACACATGTTGATGTAGAAGAGACATGAAGAAGAGGGGACACATGTTGATGTAGAAGAGACATGAAGAAGTGGATATTGCATAATAGGTGACCTTTAAAGACAAGGCTGTTTGACAGGTTTTTGTTGAAGTATTTTAACCTAAAATACCTTTTTCTTCTTCCAGGAGTCGTGCATGGCAAAGACGTGTTCCAGTTCAACCTGTCCTCCATCCAAGAATCAGAGCTTGTTCTCCGCGCCTCTTTCCACTTCCTTCACAAGCGTCCACGCCACCACCAGAGACAGTGGCATCTCCGAAAGCCTCGCCATCCGTCCTCCGGCCCCCAACACTCCCCCTCCCCGAATATCCTCTTCCGCGGATCATCCCCGAACTCAGCTTCTTCCACACCGCTGGGAAACATAACTCTGGCTGCTTTCAAGAAGGGCTCTTGGCAATCGGGGGATGTAACAACGGTGGTGAAACACGCAAAGGATGTGAAAGAGCTTGTGGTTATGGTGGACTTTGACGTGGAGCTTGGGGCACCTCCGAGGCAACAGAAAAGCCCTCAAAGCCAGGAGCGCCTCTCTTCGGCCAACATGCCGTATATTTTGATATACGCTGATGACAGAGCGATAGATGAGCCTAACAGCGTGGCATTGTCACTCCAACGATACGGACCTTTCCCCGTAGCGGAGGAGGCATCTTCCTCAGCTTCTCCAGCCTCGAGGATTCGGCGAGACCTTCATCAACAGCTCCAAACCAACAACATCCCCAAGATGCAGTACAACACCTTGAAGAACCACGAACTCTGGCAGAACACTTATTTCCCGGCGAAAGCCAAAGCGGCAGTGACGCCAGGGAGGAAGCAGGGTCAGGAGAGCAGCGAGGGCCTGGGAAAGCCTCAGGTGCTGAGCTTCGATGAGAGGACGATGAAAAAGGCCCGGAGGAGGCAGTGGAGCGAGCCCAGGGTTTGCTCCAGACGATACCTCAGGGTGGATTTCGCCGACATCGGCTGGAGCGAGTGGGTTCTGGCGCCGAAGTCGTTTGACGCGTACTACTGCGCCGGGGCCTGTGGATTCCCCATCTCTAAAGTGAGCCACAGAAACTTTGTTACTACAAGACATTTAGAACGATTTGCCTTTTTATTAAGCTGTTCCTAATTCATAAACACAAGAGAGGAAAGGTTGTTGGTCTGACTTGAAAGAAATGTATCAACAGAATTTATGTAGAAAACATGAAATAAATAGCAATTGATTTCATGCATCCGTTGGCATATCAGAATCAGGTTTATTACCAGGTGGGTTGACACGTACGAGGAATTTGACTTGATGTCATGGTGCATATATAAAAGTAAAACAAAAATGTAAAAACACAGATAGATAACTATTTTAAGAACACTATAATAATAAGAACAAATGTTGCCTTTACTGTTACATGTTTAAGAGTTACTTCCTCTAGCATTAATCCCTCCTTCTCCCACTCATTTCCTCAGGTGGTGCGTCCTTCCAACCACGCCACCATCCAGAGCATCGTGCGAGCGGTGGGGATCGTCCCCGGTGTTCCCGAGCCGTGCTGCGTTCCCGACAAGATGAGTCCCCTCAGCGTCCTCTTCCTGGACACCAGCAGGAATATGGTGCTGAAGGTTTACCCCGGCATGTCTGTGGATACCTGCGCCTGCCGGTGAAAACCAATGGAAACTCTGCATTAAAGAGGACAGCAGTGAGTGAGGATAAACTGATACGACTTGGAGGACTCAGGATTTCTGGAGTCTCTGTTCGAGAACTCTTCTGTGAATCTTTTCCTACTCTGTCAAGATTCGACTTTGAACCAAGTTTTTCCTGCTTATCTAATTATTTCTAAAGACTTGTTCCCCTCAACGAAAGCCACCTTTATTTCTTCTTCTCCCTTCATCCAAAAGCAGTTGAATAAGTGCACTTAGTAAATACTTTAATACTTCTTCTCCACGTCCCAAACACATGAGTTGTCACTTAAAGGTGGGGTAGGTAAGAATGGAGAAACCAGCTCGAGTGCGCTAGAATTTGAAAATACACAACCGGAAAAAATCGGCCACTTCCTCACAGAGCCCCTCCTCCAACACACAGGAACGCGCACATGACCAATGAGGGCACGAGATAAGTTTGTGCACAGATGGAAGGCTGACAGGCAGGTAGGCCATCCAGTTACTTTAGCCGGGCCGGCTCAGATGATTGGTCGTGCTTTTTACAGCGCCACGGCTTCCACAGATGACATTTGCTTTTATGGATTTTTTGTCAAAGCACTTCAGATATTCATTGCTATCGGGATGTTAAGAGCATTCCATGGAATATAACAACAAGTGTATCTCGAGCCGGTTTCTCAAACGTACCTACCCCACCTTTAATCGTTACTTTTTTTAAACAGTTGTCTATAAACTGACTCTCGCTCGTGCAAAAGCATCTCTCACCACCTCTATGTCCTTAGTAGTCAGGTTTTAATGTAAATGTTAGTGAAGTATGAAACTGGATAAATGAGACTTGGATTGTTCTGCAGGATTTGTGTGAATGTTTGTAAAAGGAGTCTACGGCAATTCATCAAGACTTTTGTCTATTTTTGGATTATTTCCCTTTTAAATTCAAGGTAACACAGGGGTGACACGTGAATATACAATGGTCTTTTATGGGTAACATTTTTCCATTTCTTCCGCACACTTTCACTTTTATGAAGTGATCTTGACTGTTTTAATATCATTCAAGATAAGACTCCATTATCTCTGGCCTACACCTGGACTCTGCTGTCTTTTTGGAAATGTTTCCAAGTTGAGTAAGCTCTCGTTTGTTGTTTCAAAAGTTCCTGAAGCCTTTTCTCATCAGTTCCTCTGCTGCTTGGCTCTGTCTGGATTTGGACTCCCTGATGAACTGCTCACTGACTCAGGAGGGACACACAGACTGATTTACATCCTACATTATTCAACCCTCGTCATGTAAATACTGTAGTTACTAATGCAAACTAAAGTGTACCTATTCTATTGTTGACGTTGAACCTCCCATATATTAGCAAGAACTATTTGTGCATGATAGGTAATAACATCTTCTTTAAACTATATTTTAATAGCCATTTGTTTATATCTTGTATATATTTATGACACCTACTGACAGATACTGTGCTGCAAGCATTGGATGGTCATTTGCTTCTGTTTCAGCTGAGGGTAAACACAGCGCTCTGCTGCCCCCTGCTGTGCATTTTGGGAATGTCGAAGAGACTTAAACATTTTAAAGGAACAAGTTGTTATTCAGCATTTGACTTTAAACACATGAATACTGTTATTCATGGATGACTTGTACAGTTTGTAATAATGGTAGATTTCCATGGTAATTAAAAAGGGATAAATGTATCTGTCCTTATAACTGTATTATATGGCTTAAAGTGTATTTGAATAGTGATGTGTGCTCTATAGGCTAATGTATGGCTCGTAAGGAAATAAATTGAATTGTACATATTGTTAAAGACATTTGCAAACTTTTATTAAAAGTGTTTAAAGCTTAGGCTTATATATCTTACAGTAACTCAATGTATGTCAATAGTATAAGCCCTGCTGTTTAAAGAGGAACCGCCCGCCCACAAGAGCTCTATTGGGTAAGTTCTGATTTCTGAGAGGACTACTTTTATTTTGAAAGTCATCTTGGAAAATATATGTTAGTTTATTACATATTATTATAGTGTTGTGCAACTTATAATTGACACAAGACGTGTGTAATGGTGCCCAATCAAAAGTCAAAGTCAGCTTTATTGTCAAAATTACTACATGTGTTATACATCCAGAAATCTCGAGATACCGTTTCCCGCAATCCTACAGTGTGACATATATACATAAAACAAAACAAAAAGGGCCTAGATAATCGGGGTATACAATTTAAAATGTTAATAATATATTTTAAATGTTCAAAGTACAGTTTCAGTGCAGTAGCAGCGGAGATGGGCAGAAAAGTGACTGGTGCTGGATGAGGGAAGGTTGTGTGTGTGTGTGTGTGTGTGTGTGTGTGTGTGTGTGTGTGTGTGTGTGTGTGTGTGTGTGTGTGTGTGTGTGTGTGTGTGTGTGTGTGTGTGTGTGTGTGTGTGTGTGTGTGTGTGTGTGGTAAAATATTATATAACATACATTCATAACAATTGTTTGTAGTTAACGTTAAACATGGCATTAAAGCCTTATGGTTGCGAAGCTATTCCTGACAACGTTTTTGTGTATAATTGTAGATGTTTTTTCCTATGGATAAGGACTAGGACTGACAAGGCTGGCACAACTCATAGCACACTTTCCCTCCATTAGTTGCACAATTTGATGTGTCATATGTGTAGGTGGGAGGCGTAGGCATTGCAAGCACAATAGAGGGAGTCTAAAGAAAAAGGTACACTCTGCCTTTTTTATCTATAAAACAATCAGCTTTTGAGTCCCTGAGGTTTCTTTGAGTGTGTCAGCATATAAGTGAAGGCGGCGGATCATAGATGGCACGTGACATGACATCTGTACAGCATGTTAGTAGGCTTTTGGCTTAAAGTTTGGTAGACAGATGAATGAAATGCACACAATCAGTGCTTCTGGCTGAAGGTTGCGGACTGAGAGGATTCACTGGTAATTATGGGTCTATTCTCATCACTCTCCATTTGAAGGCTAAAGTGCTCTGTTGGCGCTCCCTTCTCCACTTAAGTTTGATTGAAACGAATCTCAAGTAGACACAGTTTCTAACATAGTTTGGCTGAAACATAAACACACACAAACTATACGAGTATGCACGTGCAGAAAACACATACAACACACACACCACAGCTGTTGTATTGTATTTTTTTATGAGCACACTATGCTCTCTTGGCAGTACATCAGCTCCCAAAAGTTCAAGCACCCTATAGTTGATAACTTGGGTTAATGCCAGACTGACTCACTGGTCTCTCCTTCACACACACATATACACACACACACACACACACACACGCACACACACACGCACACACACACGCACACACGCAC